CTTTATTCAGGTTTGAATAGAGGATGTGATGGCTCACATATTAATGGATTCCCATATGACACTATGAATTTAGAAGGGAGCTTAGATAACTCAAACTAGAAGAAAAAGACATTTATACAAATTTTATTCATTTCCAATTGCTTTTACATCAATGTGCTTTTACTTGTGAAATTTTATTTTGAATTACAAATGTATTCATCATAATGTGAATTACTTTTGAAACAATTCAAAAACATCAACAAAATACATTTTAGGTGAATATTTGTGAAACTTCGTCAAAAAAAAAAAAAAAAAAAAAAAAAAAAAAAAAAAAAAAAAAAAAACTTCACAAACGCAATTCATCTATTTGAAAATGATTTACTAATCGAGTTAAATTATTGGGCACAAATTTTTGCACAAAGAGCGTAGAAAAAACTAGCTAAACTAAATAATAATAACGACATTTATGAAAAATAATATTTTTTTTAATGTGATGTGAAATATGGACTCACTTTAAAAGTGCGTTGAAATTACATTACATGATGTAGAAAAAATAATAAAAGAATTAGTAATTTGATGATTTGGAAGTAGAAGTCGGGTATGAAAGTATTGCATGGATAATGATAGGCTTACCCATATTTAGATAAGATAAGATTTTCCCTTTTTGGTATATTATCTTACTTAGATCGAATAATTAATTAGTTCCCTGACTTAATTCTAACAAGCTAAGGAATCGTACGTTTATCTCGGCAAATTATGAGCAGATCAGATGAGAAGGATAATTTTGAAAGGACTGAAATACCTTTATCCATTAATTAATTAATTCAGACATATCACTCTATAAATACCTCTCTACATCGCTGCGCTCTTCACACCGTCACTACTTGAATCTTCTTCTCCATCAAATCTCATCTCTGTGAGAAATTAAGCAATCAATCAATTTGGTGAGAATGGGAAAGGGCGCTAATGGAGTACCCACAGAAAACAACATGGCTGCTTGGCTTCTCGGCGTTGGCAACCTCAAGATTCAGCCCTTCAACCTCCCTCCTCTTGGTATATATATATTTTCGATTTTGGATTTTGGATTTTGAATATATATATATATATATATATATATATATATATAATGTTAATCGTATGATACGATTACTGTATTTAATGTGATAGGTCCTCATGATGTTAGAGTGAATATGAAAGCAATTGGTATCTGTGGGAGTGATGTTCACTACCTCAAGGTGAGTTTATGGTTTTTAATTAGGGTTTTGTTTTAATTTTGAGATAATTGATATAGAATTTGATTATTATATATTCAGCATGGGAGGTGTGGAGATTACATTGTGAAAGAGCCAATGGTGATCGGCCACGAATGCGCAGGAATCATTGAAGAAGTCGGGAGCGAGGTGAAGAGTCTGGTCGCCGGCGATCGCGTGGCGTTGGAGCCCGGCGTTAGCTGTTGGCGGTGCAGCCATTGCAAGGAAGGTAGTTACAATCTGTGTGACGAGATGAAGTTCTTCGCCACGCCGCCGATCCACGGCTCTCTCGCTAACCAGATCGTGCATCCGGCGGATCTGTGCTTCAAGCTCCCGGAGAACGTGAGCTTGGAGGAAGGCGCGATGTGCGAGCCGTTGAGCGTGGGCATGTACGCTTGTCGCCGGGCGAACATCGGGCCGGAGACCAACGTGCTGGTGCTCGGAGCCGGCCCTATTGGCCTCGTCTCCATGCTCTCCGCTCGCGCCTTCGGCGCTCCGAGAGTTGCTGTTGTGGACGTCGACGATCAGCGTTTGGCGTTCGCTAAGAAATTGGGAGCGGATGTGATTATCAAGGTTTCACACAAGATGGAAGATGTGGAATCTGAGGTGGAAAACATCAAGGCCGCCATGGGAGTCGGAATTGACGTCAGCTTGGACTGCGCCGGTTTTAATAAGACAATGTCCACCGCCCTTCGCGCAACCTGCTCTGGCGGCAAGGTTTGCCTCGTCGGCATGGGCCACTGCGAAATGACAGTCCCCCTCACTCCTGCAGCAGCAAGGTAATTTTTAATTAATTATTTGCAGACTTTATAATTGTATTATTAATTAGTAGAATCTCGATCGAGAACGTATTGTGTTTAATTTGTTAAAGATGATGGTTGTGTTGTTGTGTAGGGAGGTGGATATAGTGGGGATATTCAGGTACAAGAATACATGGCCACAGTGCATAGAGTTTTTGAGGAGTGGGAAGATTGATGTGAAGCCACTGATCACACACAGGTTTGGGTTCACACAGAAGGAGGTTGAAGAGGCATTTGAAACCAGTGCTCGTGGTGGCAATGCTATCAAAGTCATGTTCAATCTTTAGAGTTTAGTATGAGCTGAAGTATGAGATGAAGTTTCAAAAGACTATTTATAGTATGAGCTGAAGTATGAGATGAAGTTTCAAAGCTGAAGTATGAGATGAAGTTTCAATAAGGATTGAGATCTCACCACCGGTATGAGATCCATTTGAGAATTAATTCATGGGATTTAATTGGAGATGAAGTTCACATTAAATCAAGAGATCCCATTGGCTGAAAGAATTAATTCTGAGATGAAGTTTCAAAGTCAGTAGTGTATACTATGAGAAGAAGTATGAGCTCAAGATATAAGAGGAAACTGACTAGTCCAAAATAGTAGGGATTAGATTGGGGCATATATTCAGAAGATAAAAGTCCCAGAAGGCATGGTCTACATCAGAATTATTTGATGTAGACATATGTCATTAGGAATAATTTCCAACAACGTTGAACTTCTATTGGCATCTTTCTTTGACTTGTTTGCCTGCTTACCCTTAATGCAGTCAATGCAAGTCTCAAAGTCAGTATAGTCTAGAGTAGAAAGTACTTCATCCTTTACCAACCTTTTAATACGCTCAATGGAGATGTGACCTAATCTCCGATGCCACAACATTGAGGATTTGTCGTTAATACTACACCGCTTGGTGCCGTTTTGAACATGTAAAGAATTATAAACTGAATCATTCTTTAAGTTAAGACGAAAGAGACCATCAGACAATGTACCAATACCAACACAAGTTGAATTACGAAATAACTTGAAATAATTGGCATTAAATTCAAATGAATATACGAAGGGTATAAGTCTAGAAACTGAAACTAAGTTCAATTCCATGAAAAAGTAGGAACATAAAACGTCTTTTCTAACGTCAAAACAAAACAACTTCCAAAACTAAACTGCAAACTCCGACGGCTTCTACTGGTGATGCAATCTTATTTCCAGAGAAGATGCTACACTCACTTCCCATCGGCTGTCTCAATTTTGTCATATCCTGCAAGGAGTTTGCAATGTGGATTGTTGAACCAGAGTCAACCCACCAAGAATTAGTATTAACTTCTGACATATTAGATTCGAAACAAACAAAAGAAGAGGGAACATACCCAAGCTCAGCCACAAGCCTTTGTTCCTCCAGTTCACACATGGTTATCAATTCATTGATAGACCAAACCACTTTATGTGTGATGTAGAAAATCTTAAAAGGGCTGTACTCCTGAGGGAGGGCCTCAAGTGCAAAACGCACCACAAAATCATCTAGTATAATGATTTCTAACTTCTTTAACAGAGCCACAATGTCCCTAACCTGCGTGATGTGCTCACACGTGCCCTTGATAGTGGAAAGACGCATATTTCTAAACTTCATTATTAGAGTTATTTGCCAAAGCGCCTTCTTCGAGTCAATGAAGTTATCATCGATAGCTTTGAGCAAAGGCTTAACTTCCTAAATGTCCTCAATGCAATAACTAATTTTAGTGGAAATTCTTGACTTAATGAAGAGCACACATAATCGATTGGATTTCTCCCATCGAGCGCGAAGCTGCTTGGCTTCACCAGTGCTTTCTTCAGTAACCTCAGGGAGTTTCTCATTGAACACAGACTCTAATATCTTAATTGCAGGAGAATAACATCTTTCCACACCTTGTGATTATCGTAGTTAAGGATAGGAACATTAATAGTTTGTTTTTGAGTGACAGGAAGAGTTGCTGTATAGAATAATAATAAAAGCTTGGTTATAATTTTCGAGCCACAAAAATAGAGAGAGATACTGATGCACATAATATTACCAATGTAAAATTATGCAAAAGATAAATTCGGATGCCATAACAATTGCCTGTGGGCTAAATTTTTACGCATAATGAATCTATCAAAACTGAATGGTTGAAACGGAAGGGGTGCGATTTGAGTTTTTCCACCCTTAATAACAAAACTATCAAAACTATATGCTGATACATAATTCTTGTGGGCAAATTATGATCATACTATGGTATTTCATCCTAATTAACCCTACAAATATAACAAAATTGACTGTGGGCTAAATTTTGCCATATCACGCAGAGCGAATTACAATATTCTTGCCTTAACTTTATGTGAGTATTTCTTAATTTGTAATTTTGGTAAATTAAAGATGTTGTGGCTACCAGGACTATGTGGTCTAATGGTATCCGGGGTGGACTTCCAAGTGGAAGGTTGAGATTTCGAGCCTCAGTGGAGGCGTTATTGGCTCTTTGTGTTTCAGTAGGTTGAGAAAGTATATGAACAGATACTACAATGTAATAGAGCTAGTAGCATTCAAAAAAAAAAGAAAAAAAAAAGATGTTGTGGCTAGTCTTTAATTGACCAAACAACATAGATTAAACCAAAATATGATAGATACAGATACTACAATGTAATAGAACTAGTAGCATTAAAAAAAAAAAAAAAAAAAAAAAAGATGTTGTGGCTAGTCTTTAATTGACCAAACAACATCATCCCATTAGCAAAGAAAGCCCAATAAACAAATAGATTAAACCAAAATATGATAGATGATAGACATATTTTACACTATTATTTTATATACATCTTTATAATAATTTTGCGTTAATTATTAATTATTATATAATAATTATTTCTTTTTAGAATTTAATAAGTAATAGGCTAAATAAGTATTTTATTTAGTTAATAATGCATTTTTAGTCCACCTAGCTTTTAGCCAATTGTTTAATTTTAGTTAATATAATGTTAAGCATTAATAATGTTGAGCCGGAGGAGGTGCGGGCTGCTTTATTTTCTATAGGCAAAGATAAATCCCCTGGTCCGGATGGCATGAACCCTGGTTTCTACCAAGCCTTCTGGGATGTTATCGGTAAGGATATCACTTCTTTTGAGCTTAATTGCCTATCCCAGTTATCTTTCCCTGATTGCTTGAATGATGCAAACATTGTCTTGATCCTTAAAAAATGTGTTCCTGAGCATGTTTCTGATTTACGCCCGATCGCTTTGTGCAATGTTATATATAAGATTATGGCTAAGATGTTAGCGAATCGTATGAAACCCCTGCTAGAGAGTATTATATCAGATTCACAAAGTGCGTTCCTTCCGGGTAGATTGATCTCGGACAATATTCTGATTACTTTTGAGGTTGGCCATTACTTGAGGAGGAAGCAGTTAGGCCAGTTAGGGTGGGCCGCGCTAAAACTTGATATGGCAAAGGCATATGATAGGATGGAGTGGTCTTTTGTGAATGATATGCTTGTGGGTCTAGGTTTTGATGCTAAATGGATACAGTTGATTATGTTGTGTATTCAAACCGCACTGTATAGGGTATTGGTGAATAGCAGGCCTACGGAGGAGATTGTGCCTACAAGGGGATTACGGCAGGGGGATCCCTTGTCACCCTATTTGTTCATAATCTGTGCAGAAGGACTATCTTTGCTTTTGCAGGACTCACAAACAAAAGGTCTTATTCATGGATGTAGGGTGGCCCGGGGGGCACCACCGATCTCACATTTGTTTTTTGCAGATGACAGCTTGCTCTTCTTTAAAGCTAATCTGCAGGAAGCATTGGAAGTTAAAAGATGTTTGAGTGTTTATGAGTCTTTTTCTGGCCAAGCGGTGAATTTCCACAAATCAAGCATTTCGTTCAGCCGAAATACACATGAGGAGATACGGGAACTTGTTTCAGGGGTTTTGACGGTTTCTCAGGCGGAGGATTTTGGGAAGTACCTAGGGTTGCCTTCCGTTGTTGGCAGGAACAGGAGGGCGGTTTTTGCTTACATTGAGCAAAAGCTGAGACAGAGATTTGGCTCGTGGAATAAGAGGTTACTAACTAAGGCAGGTAAGGAAGTTTTTTTGAAGAGTGTTGCACAGGCTATGCCAACTTATACTATGAGTATTTATCTACTTCCGATCACTTTATGTGTTTCTTTAGAGAGACTGATGAACAGGTACTGGTGGGGGAAGGGTGGTAATGACAGTAGCATACATTGGTTGGCCTGGGACAGGATGTGTAAGCCGAAGAAGTATGGTGGAATGGGCTTTAAACGTTTACATGAGTTTAATCTAGCCCTATTGGCTAAACAAGGGAGGCGGCTCCTTACAAATCCCACATCTTTAATGGCACGTGTTTTTAAGGCAAGGTACTTCCCGACTACTTCTTTTTATGAGGCTGCTATGGGTGGTAACCCAAGCTATGTTTGGAGAAGCATTATGGCCAGCCAAGATTTGTTAATGTCTGGATGCAGGCGCAGAATTGGAAATGGTATGTCTACGCAGGTTTGGACGACTCCTTGGCTTCCGGATCGCCAGAATCCTTATTTTGAAACTGATCAAGTACATAACGGCCACCCAATGTTAGTTTCAGATTTGATTGATGCCCACACGGGTAGCTGGAATCATGATTTTTTGCACCAGAATTTTAATTCACGGGATACAGGGCTGATTTTGAAATTGCCTGTGAGTATGGATTATGAGGATATATGGTATTGGGAAGGGGATATAAGGGGATGTTATTCGGTTAAAGATGGTTATAGAAGGTTGGGATTCTTGAAATCGAACCCTTCACCTGTATGGAATAATGTTTGGAAGCTGCAGGTTCCCCCCAAATGGAAGGTGTTCCTATGGAGAGCCCTTTTGAATATATTGCCCTCTCTTGATAATTTGATAAATAGGAGGGTCGATATAATTAATATTTTTCCGTCTTGTGGCTTAGTTGAGGAGTGTGTTATGTATATATTTTGCTCGTGCCCATATGCTATTAATGTTTGGCAACTTTCTCAGATTCAAATTCCCCCTTTTGCTAACAGGAATTTTTTACAGTGGACGGAGGAATGGCTTGGTGGTGCAACAGGATATACACGTGAGCTACAAGGTAGAATTTGTGGCATTCTCCATAGCATTTGGGATGCTAGGAACTCGGCAGTATGGGAGTATGTCTTGCCATTGCCGATTTCGCTTATGAGGCGACACTTGGCGCAATGGTCTTCGTGGATGGATAGTCAGCAGAGCCATGTTGGCGAGTACAGCAACCGAACCGTTTCAACACATGCACAAATTGTTACCACGACGCCCTTGTTCCATTGTTATATTGAAGCCGGTTTTCACGACCCCCGACATACCGCGGCTTTTGGTTTTGTAGCCTTGGATTGCGATTCCTCCTTTGTGGCAGCGGCTAATGGAAGCCATGTCCGTATGATCCCCTCTTAGCGGAAGCTATGGCAATGTGTGAATCCCTCTCTTGGTTGAAGGATAACGGGTACTCAGGTGGCAGAATCTACACTGACTCAGCAGTTTTGATTTCAAGTCTTAGTCATGCTAGTTTGTTTCGTAACTATTTTAGTTTCATTCTTTTATCTTGTAATCGGCTATTTAATGCTTTACCCAGATCTCAGGTTTTATTTGTTAATAGGGAGGCCAATCATGTGGCGCACTCCTTATCTAAGCATGTATCTGCTATAGCAGGACGAACATTCTGGAGGGATATACCTCCTTCGTTTATTGAGCCCTTTGTGGCTAATGCAATCTAATTCATTTGGCTTTCAAAAAAGCAATAATAATTTAGTGTGGACCCAACTTTAGCAAGAAAACAAAGCAAATTCACATTTTGGTTTAAATTTCATTCGTACAGTTAGCAGCGGAAAGCGTCAACTTCAGCGCAAATATTTACGGAGAAAAATGAGCGGAACAGAGGTAGACTTCAGCGCAAAAGGAGGGAAATAAACGGTGGAAAATAGCTTTAATATATTTTGAGAATCTATAAATAGGGGCAAAGTTTTTTGTCCATTGTTCATTCTTCCTCTCTCGATTATTCTTTAAAGTTGTTATCAATGTCCATTCGTTGCTAATTTCGTTAGCTTGGTTTAGTGAGTTGAAGCCCCAGAATTGATTTTGCTTTAAGATTATTGATTTATTTTTATTAAATATGTTTTTATGCATTTGAGTATTAAATATTCTTCTAAGTTATTTGAATAGTTGCATCATTTAATTGCGAGGGAGGCCTACTAGTTATTTATTTGATATAATTATTTGCTATATTAGTTAATGTCGTGCTACAAATTATTCTAATATTCAGTAGCAACTGAGTTTAATTATTGATGGCTTAGCGATAATTGGTCTCGTGTAGAATATTTTCCTAAATTAAATGCAACCGCTTGTGCTTGTGTTATTTAGTTTGTCGGTTTTCCTAGTTCATATTGCTGTTATTACATTAAATCTATAGCGCTTGTCTTAGATTATTTAGTAGTTATGGGTAATTAAACCGTGTGTGCTTTAGTTACCTACAACTAAGGGAAAACGGAAATGAAATAATTTCACGACAAATATTTAACTACATATTAATTACTTTTCGAATCAATGATCAGTGTTAAATTCCGGTGGTGGATCTTTACTAACCAAGGTTTCCTATTATAAGTGTTTTCAATATATTATTTTCACTGCTTTATTCGTTTATTTACTTTGATTATCACTTTCATACCAAACCCCCCCTTTCCTTTAATTTGAGCACATACGTTAAACTAGTTACTCCTCGTGGGATCGACCCTTACTCCCGCTACTACGTTTGTAAGGTTTTAATTTGGGAGCCTACGACAGCTCACCAAATTTTGGCGCCGTTGCCGGGGAGATTTTCTTGTATATTTTGTGTTTGTTTATTTATTTATTTGTTTGTTTGTTTCTTTTTATTTTCATTTGTCAAAAAAAAAAGGAATCTAAAAAAAAATAATTTTTTCTTTCATTACCTTTACATAGTTGTTGCAATACATTTTCTTTTGGTTTATGCCTATAACTCCATCTGCTAATCAAGAAATCTTGTCGTACGATCTAGATATTGAAAGAACTGTACGCAGGTGGAGGAAACAAGCTTTGAGGAAATTGGGGTTTTGTGATCTGGCTACCGATCCACAACCTTCCGTCAATTGGAATTCCATTGTTGACGGCAATCTTGAAGGAAAATCGATGGGAGAGTATAATTCTTTTTTTTTTTGATGAGCCGTCGTTTTCCACCATCAACAAAGGTCACCGGCGATCTAACCGCAGACCGGAGTTCTAAAGAGAACGGCGAAGCAGCAGCAAGCAAAAAAAAAATATCCAAATTGAATTTTTTTTTTTGTTTCTTAATGCGGAAAAAAAAAAACATAATTTTTCAGCAGCCCTGTCACGCCCCACTTCTAGGACATGACCCGACCGTATCGTTACGTGAGGACTTGTGACAATACGCAGCCTAACCATACATACCTCTCGGAACCTTCATAATAACACTTGAATACATAATAATTCCACAGCTAAAATGATAAAATATAATCAACTAGTTCTTCTCAAAAACTCATCAAATCCACTATTAAATATTTACAATCAAGAGTATTGTGTCCAAAATGCATCACAAGCACAAAAACCAAACACAATGGTTTACCAAAAATACAAAGGGTCAAAGAGAATAACCAAATAAATATAAGTCCGTGATAAGCTCCAATACTAGGAGTAAGTCTCCTAGTTTCAAGAGTCACCTTCAAGATCCCACCACTTGTGCTCGTGCTATTCACATGTCCTTAACTACTCTGAAACACGAGGAAAAAATACAAATAATTTAATGAGTTAATGCCCCGTAAGTGGTACTCTTCTCACCCCGGATCAAACAACCCTAATATAATACACTAAGCTTTAGAGTAATATTAGATGCAAATCTCGATCTTTAATCTTTATCGAAGTCATAATACTTTCATCATACTATACACAAGTTCCCAAAACAGAAAACTTTAGCTACATGGGCATCAACATTATTTCATAATGCAATAAATTCAAAAGCACAAATCATTCGTTAACATATGACTCATTGGCAACCTACAGCCACTATTATAACCCGTGGCAAAGGCCATTATCGACATAATTATTTAGAAAGACTCGACGATTCGGAATGAGTCAGGCTCGACGATTCAGAATGAGCCGGATGGAACGTTCCAACAAATAATTCAAAAGACTCGACGATTCGGAATGAGTCAGCTCGACGATTCGGAATAAGCAATATAATTAGTTACGTTCCAAAACGAACAGAACAAACAACAAAATGTAGATTGCCTCATGAGTTTGGTCAAGCAAACATTCATAATTGTTCCTATAATCAAATAGCCCGATGTAGCAAAAATCATCTCCATCAAAATCACATAACAAATTACATATCCAAAAGTGATTAGAAATCGTATACTAATAATTGTCAAATAAATTACTTGATCCTCTTTTAGAGCAAAACACCGTAGTACAAATCATACACATACAAATTTAATAAAAAAAAATAGCCATGTTCATTTATTCACAAAATCCAAACTTAGGCATGCCCAATGATATCTTTAGTCAAGTTTAACAGCTCAAAAACATAGTATAGCACAAAATACTTTTAACTCATACTAACCCTAGAAAGGGGTATTCAAAGTAGTAGAGATTCCAAAATAGGTTATGAGATTTGCAAAATAAGGAGAGAAGAGTTAACCACTTACCTAAAACATCCAAATCTAGCTTAGCTATTTAGCTCACACAAATACTCCCTGTCAAAATCCCTAATATTTTCAAACATCAATCTTAGGGTTCCAATGATAAATCAAACTCAAAAAGAGTGAAAAATGGAGATCAAACTCACCTAGAATACTCCCAATAACTTGAGACCTAAGCTTGAAGAAGAAGGAGATCAAAGCTTCAAGGTTTTCCTTCCCCTATCTCTCTCTAGCCAATATTTTCTTTTTCTTCTTTCAAATGAAATGTTCTTCCAAGACACATGGAATTCTTTAAGCTTTAAGGATAAAGAGGGGTGAGTTAGTAATTTACCCAATATCATCATTTAATAAGTTTTGACATGTTGACCTCATTTAATAACATAGATATATCTTTATTTCTAAAGTAGTGGGTATTACAAGCCCAGACATAGAATTGCATACAAATATTCGAATATGTATATCAATTATACAGTGTATACAACATATTCAAAAATAATATGCAATTAAAAAGAACTAGGCATAGATTATTTTTTGCTCGGATACCAACTGTTAGAATTAAATATGTCACATGCATCATATAATATGTGATAACAGGATCATACTAACCTCTAGCCATTAGTTCTTGTATTGAGCGATCTGGACTGCTGTAGAGTTTTGTCTCTCACTTCTATTCAGCTCTCTCTAGATGGTGTATGAGGTATGTAGTGTTAGCAATGAGAGGACTCGTGACCCTATATAACCACTGGCCATCATTGTGGTTGTATGTCTTTAGGTCTCTTAAACCCTAACTAGACTCCTAATCATATTGGTAGTCTAACTATTAGGTTATTAGTGTTGCACCACACATCAAATACATAACATTATCATAACTTATCCCAATATTATAATAATAGTGATTAGCGAAAATGTTACAATAACTTCACAATCAATGCTAAAACTCGAACTCGTGCTGGAATATAAAGGAGAATATAGAACAACAAAAAGAAGAAAAACGTGATTTATTATACGCTCAAAATATTACAAATACTTAACAATCCCACGATGCAAAACACTTATTTTTTTTTATGCTTGAAGACTCTTCTTATTAGGTTCTTTCAATTGCTGTAATTTCTTATTCATTTGCAAGTTGAGAGTAGCTAGCTGAGAGATGTTCAGGAATGATGCTAATTGCCTCTAACATCACCATTTACAGCAAAACATAGAAAATGGAATCAAACTTCCCCTATACATTCAATCTGTTTAGTCCTTTTGTTACAATCGTTCCCGAGCCGGCGACAATGGAGCTTGTGTGATGGCGAAGATAGAGCATGCGTGATTTTTACGATGGAGATAGTGAAGTATGGGGATGATGGTAGCTAAGGGGCTGATGAGAGCGTGGAGTGATAGTGATTGAAAATTTTGGCATTGAAAATCATAGTTTTCGCTTCTCGAATTAATATATATCAGAGGTAGAAATTATGAAAAATAAAAAACATGCAATTTAATTGCATTTGGTATACAGATATAGTGGATGGAAATATTTAATTAATTTTTTTAAAATAAGACTATATGCGTGTTTTGTAAATGCACAAAAACTGCATATAGTCTACGTATTTTTAAAAAAAAAACGTATTTAAAGATGATATTTTAATTAAAAAATTGCAACGCATCACTTTAGGCATTTGGTTATGTCACAATAGATGTAAATTTTCAGATATTTATGGCCATTTTTCTACTAGTGACTTATCC